TTATTTAGAGAAAAAAAGATGTGAAGAGGGAGAAGGGGGACCTCACACAACAGGTGTTAAATGTAAATGGATCAATTATGATAAATAACCTTTCAATGAAAACCCCAAAAGCACCTAAGACACTATGCAAATCTCATACCCCTAAGGACAAAACCCCTTGTGGGACTCCTGCTATGTCTCAGATTTTAGTTCCTATTCCTTTCCAACACTGATAAAATACTTCCAATTTTCTGAACAAATTATGTCTATTGTTGCTCTTGTTGATAATCTCCACTTCAAAAAAGCATAAAAATTATATAAACCGAAAAATAATTTTTATAAACAGTGACTTTTTACATAATATTTTGTGTGCATTTACAGTAAAAGCACAGTATGAAAATCTGATGTGTTTTTAAACTGCATTATTAGAAAAGCTCTGTTTAAGTGCTTCAACAATCCCTGAGGCTAATTTACTTATTAGTAATTTCATATTAAACAATCTTACCCACATTTATTCTAGAATTTAAAATGTGACTGCATTTTTAACACAGACAGAACACCAAGTTTATACTGGAAGGTTACAGTAATTTGATAATATATATATTCCCACATATTTCAAGTTTGTATGCCTAAGGAAGGTTAAATACTGGACATCAAGAATACTATTCAAACACCTGAACATCACATAGAGCACATGTCATACAACAGACAGTTCAGAGTTCTTTTTTATTAATGTTGGTTAAAAATGCAGAAAGACAACACCAGAGAAAAAGAAACAGGCCAAGATTCAAGTGAAATTAACAAAATGCAAAACCCAGTAATATTTACAAACAAAAAAAACAAAAAAAACAAACCCCACATATAGTTTAATTTCCAATTTTTGGAAGAGCCGACCTTTTAAATATAAAATGAGCGATCTGGTAACTGTACTTCTGCACTGCCAAACAAACATTTTCAGTATTTCATACTTTTCCCACATCAAGGTTAAGTTTCTAAAAATCTGTAAAGAATCTCATTACTTGACAAAAGTAAATAAAAATACTCTGAGCAAAAATACATTAAACAAAACCAGCAAATCATTTGGTGCCTCTTGTTAACAGTCCCAGTGTGTATTTTATGATACAAAATGCCATCACCAGCAGGACAAAGTCTGGTTAAATTGTATAAAAATATTCTAAAATACCTCCACAGACTCAAAGTTCTACAAGCTCAAATAAAATTTGAAGTAAGAGGTATCTGACGAACAGGCACTTTCCAGTTTATATTTTAAAATAAGCTTTTTTTCATTCATGTAACTTTTTCTTGTGCCTATTTACTATAATTTACTACTACACCAGGCTTCTGTATGGCCCTCAGTTAAAGTTTAGACTTCTGAGATTCTTCAAAGAAAAATTTGCCTTGTATGTAAAATGGTGCAATGCAGCAATGGCTAAACCGACAAGGTCATTTTTCACAGCACAAAAAACCTAAAAACTGAAATTCAAAAGCTGGAAAAACATCATACAGGGGCAAGGGCTGCCCTCAATAAAGGTACAGTACCTTTTGCCTAGGACATGGGCCCTTAAGTCACAACACAAGTTTCAGAAATTACTACCAAAAAAAATTAGGGTGTGGCATGCTAACAATCTCAAGGTCATTCCTTAAAAAGGAAGCAAAATCAGTAAAATGTTTTCTGTTAAGCACTGACAGTAACCCAAGGCTGTCAAAGTAAACAGGGTATTCACAGGTTTTACAAAAAAAAAAAAAAAAAAGAAAGTTGATAGGTCATACCTCGATGCATTGCTGTGGACTGAACCCTCCTCTCCTTGGCTTTTGTCCTTATTTCTCATCATCTTTTTATTCTTAAATATTAAAAGGGGGTCAGGGGTGTCTGTTTGCTTTGAAGTCCTGTGCCCAGGTATTTACTGTCAAAAGTTGAAAGAAAGGTAAGGTCCCAGTTCGTTTCACTGGCTTTCATTATCAGGAACAAAGTCCTGACGCTGCAATGATATTGTTATAACAATACACAGCACTGATCAACACGGCAAACCGAAGATTTAAAGCAAATAATCAATTTTACAAGAAAAATCCGAGAATAAACACAGGAGAGGAGCATCCTGCAAACTTTCCCAAAGTAACACTGGATGCAAATAATCTCTGTATCTTATTGCGTCATCCCAATACAGCACAAATCGGTCGAAAATCAAAGTACTCAAAACGGCAGAAATCTAAAAATTATTATTATTAATTGCTCACCTACCTGATCCATGCACCGCCGCCAGGACCAAGTCGATATTAGTTTCGGGTAGTGGAAAAACATTAGATCCAAAATATTTAGAATTATACCGATAAAATACAAATTTCAGAAAATGAAAAAAAAATATATATTCTAATCCCAAAAATATGCTGCCGATAAAGCAAAAGAAGCGGTAATTAGTATAAAAATGTCCGGGGGAAAAAGCTCATTAGGAGAGCGCACAAAAATGGAGGTACGCCATGGCTTCTAAGCTGGAAAAACAACGACCTGGGCTCTCTCCACGGCTTCTTCTTTCCAGCAAGGCACGAAAAGGGAGCCCTCAAAAGCTGCTTTTCTGCCCGAAAAAGGTCCGCTCGGCCCCCGATTAGTGCCTAGGAGAGGCAAGGGGCTGTGGGGGCCCCCTGAGGCTGCCTGAAAGTTAGGGAAAGTTGCGTAAAGTGTTGGGGAAGGCACGGAGCTGAGCGCGCTCTCTCTAAGGCACAGCCGCCATCTAGAGCTCCTTCCCAGCTCTGAGCTCTGCCTTTGATTGACACTCTCTACATTTACCCCACAACTCAGGTGATGTACCATAGACCCACCCCTTCATTTCTACCAAAAAAAGAGAGAGCCTCCACCTAAAGGGTGCCTGCTACCCCACAGCCCTGGCTCCTTCCAACTACCCCAGCTCAAGGGGCACCTTAACCCCATGTGGCTCAGGCACCCTTTGGAAGCCAGAAAGAAATGGAATTTGTGCCTTTTGTTTTAAAGATTTGTTAAATATTTCAGTGCCTGGGCTAAAATTACTTCCTCCCTGGACAGGAAGTAGTGCTGTTACAAGCCATTTTGAAGGCATGGAAGTGGAGCTCACAGCCATGCAGGCAGCTACTGCCCACCCTGGGGGTCACCCCACCCAAGGGGCAGCTTCCCCCCAGTTTGGTGGCAAAATCCCCAGACAACAGCTCTCCCCTTTGTCCCCCAGTGCTGGCACTGGCAGGGGGGGACAGGAGCATCACCCGCTCCCAAGCTAACCCCACAGAGCTGAGATTGCCCTCCAGCTCCACAGCGCCTCCCTAGTGGTTTCCCCCAACAACTCCAATCCAAAAACCACACCATTTCCACCAGCTATGCCAAGGCACTATGGTCAACTCAGGCAACACCATCAAACTGCTTATTTCTACTGCACTTTCTTAACCCATTCATGCTCATTAACAGATTTTAATACAACAAATTAAATTGAAAGCTGCACAATAGCCAAGTTGCAGAATTGCTAATCAATTGATACACATCTCCAACACAACATTGTGGAACTGAGAGGATGTATCAGCAAGGGAATGGAGGTGATCCAAGTATCCCCTGCCCACTTGATTCTGACTACCAGTTGTCTTCCACAACCAAAACCAACCCCTTAAAGCACAAGGACATCCTGCATGTTCATAAGCATCACAACAAGACAGAGCCATCAGCCATGGGGGGACCACTGGAGGACAAAGGGGCAATGGGCCAGTTTGGGGTTCTATGGGGACATCCACAGCACAGCATCTCAACAGCCCAAAACCATTGGCTTTGACCAGTAGAACCAACACCATCCCCTTTAATTCCTCCACAGACCTGCCATTTATCTCCTACAACCATGTACCCTATTTCCACAAGGGGTTTCATTAGTAACTCTCCAATGCCACAAGCCATTTTAAAAAAATTCCACTTTACCAATTATTCACAGAAGACTCCTTGTACCTCAACTGCAAGAACTAAAAAACTACAATGCAAGACCATTCCAAGCAATTTTTGGTAACACTCAGGAAATCCACTCATTTGAATGAGAAATGCTTCAGGCTGGTCCCAGTATCCAACTCCACCATAAAAATATATAGTGAAACCAAACTGGGCCAAGTGGGTACCACCAAAATGGCTGGATGGAACAGGTATGAGCAAGTCATCATGGCAAAATGGGTAATTCCAAGAAAGTCTGAGCAAGGCAAATGGTTAAAAAGACAATGAACAGAATTTTTTTTGGGTTTTCAAAGATAATTTCAAGGTTATCTCAGCACCAGTTTATCATCTTGGCCCTCCAGTACAAAACAAAGACAACTTTGAGTTCCAGGTGAAACACAAAGAGAAGAAATGCCTATGGTTAAATTATTAGATCCACTAGAAACCTGTAAGGAAATAATGACTTCAAATATTAGAACCATTTCAAAATTCATTTGCAAAGGTTAATAGGTCATCTGCAGCAATATCAAAAATAACTTGTTTTTTTCTCAGAAAACACATGGCACAGTATCATGACACTAAGGCTACATGCAAGAGCAGCGAAGCAGATTGGACACTTGCACAGAACAATTTTAAGACCGAAGTGACTGTTCAGGAAGTCTGTAGTCCAGGAAATCTGTTGAAAAGTTTCTGTACCCACACACAACCCAAGAACATACCTAAAAAAAGTTTCACAAAACATTCAAGTACTTCTTTATTGTTATATTTTCTCAGCCTTCAATTGGTATCAATTCCATCTTAAAATAACTTCACAAAGTTCAGCAGCAGTACCCTGACAATAGGCCAAGTACTGAAAACCCCTCATATTAAGCACCTGAATGAACAAGCCAGTGAATAAAAATTCATTGAAAGTCATGGCAAAGTGAACATAATTTGCAAATGAAAACCACATTGGATATCAAGTGTAGCACAAAATTTTACCTTGCCTTCAGTACTTAGCTAAAGTATTTCTCAGTTTAATAGCAACCAAAAATGTGACCCACTTCAATATCAACACAACAAAAAATATTCAGCCAGAAAGGACAAACACAAAGTGTGAAATAAACCAAAACCTTTTATTTAAAGTCACTTTATAAATTACATTTTCTCAAATGGGGTAGCAACAGATCTTTTACCAAATTAATTTGCCTATCATGCAAACACAACCCAAAAGGAAAATTTTGCAACCCAGTCCTCAAACAGATCCATCATTGGATAGTCACTGATTAATGCAAATGCAAAGTCCATTCTGGTAGGATGATCCAACCCAGATCTTCTCTGGTTTAATAACATGAGAGTCCATGTTTTAACATCCTTTTCTTGGACAGACATCCCAGCACTCATGCATTAGTCCATTTCCTCAACCTCTCAATCCCCAGTGGAACTGCCATCTTGGTGTCTCATTCGTAGACTCCTTTTGACACTCTTCATCTGAATGGATTCTTTATGAAAAATTAGAAGAAAAATGCTGTTGGAATACATATAATTGCTTTAAACTAAGACATTCAACTACTGTACCTCAAAGAAAATTTAAACATGTAACTGATGCTTCATTGCATGTTACACAGTCCACAACATCTACTTTTACCAGAAACTATGTCAAATAATCAATTCAAGAATCAAAAATAGAAAGTTTAACCAAAACTATATAAAAATGGGAGAAATTATTATAAGTCCAAGAACTCTTTCAGGATCCATGAATTCCATTTGAAATTTCTTCACAGCATTAAACCCCTAGAGAAATCTGTGGTGGGAAATCTAAGAAATTTGCTCTTGCATCCATTTTCATTGCACTGGCCCATCTCCTGAAGCTGACATTGCTTAGTAGAACACCAAGATTCTTGTAACAAGCCAAAATTTTTAAGTACTGCTCAAGACACAGATCCATCAAAACCAATGAAAACTGGTTTCTTATAGAGAGATGGTGACTGGACACAAGACATTCCACCATCTTGACCCAGTTTTCCAGCTCATGAAAGATGTACAGTGCAACAGCAAACACACAAGCAAATGAGTGGTTTAGTTACTGGTAGGAAAGGACACATCAGAAATCAGATGAAAATGGTCACAAGTCACTCTAGCTACCTTTAGCAAGGCTCCTGAGCCATATTCCAACTGTACTCATCATGTACAGCCAACCAAGCCGACAGGTGAGTGACAAACCAAACTGAGCTAACAATGTCCACATGGATAAATACAAACCAATGCTCCCATCTCCCTATCTTCTTCCAAGAAATATAAGCTCAATTTACTTCAAGTAAAACTTTACTCCTCCTCACATGCAAAACTTAGGTATAGGAAGTTACTAAGTGTTAAGAACATAATTTTGAAACCAATGCTGACTGTAGGGCTGATATGCCAAAAAGGGTTTTAAAATGTCTTCATGATTTTGAGTATCTGCACTCCAACATCAATTTGTTTTTTTGAATATGTATAGGTTTAACCTCATTTTAGTCTGAAAGCCAACTGTACCACCACTCTGCTCTCTGATAATCCTGGGCAGATTCTGACAAGGGATGCAGAAATTACCCACAGCCCAGCAAAAACCAGTGGGGCCATCTAGTGGTCTCTGCCTTGGCATCCCAGCTTCCCCAGTCTCATCTCAAAATAACCAGTTACAGCAAAGCAAAGAGCACTAGAAGCAGTGCAACAATGCCCAGTCTGACTTTCGCAAGTACCCACGTATCCTGTTTTATGCTGTTCTACAGAACTCCTTGTTTTAAATACAATGGGAAAGTGCTGCACATAGAACTGGAATATGGGATCTGGTAATTTCACTTTGCACTGTGAAACGTGCATTGCTGCAGGCATATTCAAGCCCCAGGACATTGATGTTTTCAGAAACAGAACTTTCAAGTTTAAAAAAATGCTCTGTTTCAAATATTCAACTCATCCTCACTTAAGACAATGCATTAAATATTTTAAAAGGTGTTTTCCCCTCACACTAAGCTGGTTTTATGGTTGCTTTGGGTTTGGCTTGTTTTCTTTTTTTTCAGTTCTCACTCAACTAATTTCAAATCTATTTAGACATCTGAAGATGACTTAGAATTTTGAATATTTTTTCATGGTAATGCCTTGACCGAAGTATCAAAACATGAACAAAAACCCCACAAAGTTGTCCATTATTGTCACAAACACTCAGAAGTATTAACATGCCTACAGTGGAAGCCCCATAAATAATACCATTAAGTTAATTTTTAGTTATTTCTAATAAGCTTAACATATAGAAATCCAATTACTGACATCAACTTTCCCCATCTCTAAAAAAGGTAATTTAGTTATGTATTAGTCACCCTTAAAAGGCTCTTTCCAGTTGGGTCAGCCCTCTGCCTCAGACCCTCACAGGACCTGCCAAAAGCAACTTCAGGGCAAATTTTCCTTTTAGGTTCATCTATGTTGGGTCAGACCAAGAACTTTTCAAGTAACCCCATGATGTCCATCTCTAAATGGACTCTTCTCTAAATCTTGCAAAATAATTAGCACTAAACAGAACTAAAGAGGTATTATAATTAAGAACACATTCTTGTTCTCCAAATTATACATCAAAAAAATGCCACAGGAATGGCCAAAATATTAATAGCAGCCTCTACACTTGTGAAATTTACATTTGCTTTAAAAGATTTCACAGCTTTTGTTTACTTATGAATTAAGGCACATTTCACTAAGAAATTTCATGTTACTAAGAAATAATGTTACAAAAATACAGTCCTCCATGAAGACAGATGCAGTGATCCTAAACTTGAGGTAGATACTGAAAAATCCAGTTTTTTTCCCTAGATTACGCGAGTCTACCATTCCTTCTGTAAAATGAACTAGGCATCCATCTATTTTTCAAGCTTCTATTATCTACTAGTTATTGGTTTGGTCTGCAAGCACTGTATTTTGGTCACAACACATCAGGGACTTGGACAGTCCTGTAATACTGACAGTTTCCTTCAAACCACTGGTAACATGCTGACATTCCATGCCATCCATTCCCAACCCACCTAAAGGTTCAATGCAACAACTATAAAACATCTGAGTTGCAAAGTTTTTCTCTTCAGCTTTTTTGGCAATGATTTGTTGCTGTATTAAAAGATCACACCAGTAAGAGACATCCCTTTTGGCCAAACCCATGGCTTCAGACATTTCAGGTCCACTGTAACCCTGCATTCCTTAAAGGGTGAGATTGAAGCCCAACACGTCCAACACTCGTGCATAAGACAGCAATAAATTTACAAACAATTCCAGAATGAAATCTGAAGCTTAAACTTTTAAATAAGGTGACCTACTTAGGAAAGGGAATTCACTCCAACAGAGGGAGCTGAACAGACAGAACGAGGTTCTGAGCAAATCAAACCTCAAGTTCTACACTTCGAAGTTCATTAAAGCAAGGTTTTGTTCTCAACGACATCCCTGGTAACTTTTACACTGGAGGAAAGAAGTGTCCTTTATTGGCAGCTAAGTCCATTATGTTATTTTGTACCATCTTTAGCATGAAGTGCTCTGGACAGCTCTAAATCTGCTTTTACCACCATTAGACGTTCCTTAAGCAGGGCAGTAAAAGCAAAGCTCATACAGGTTTGGGTATTTTTAGATAGGAAAGGCTGTTTGCCAGGTTTGTCAGATTTCAAGGTGAATTCCAAGTAAGATGTGGCTTCATTCACACATGCACTCTTTTGTGGGTATTATTTTTAAATAATAAATTTTATTGCATTAAGCAAAGTATGCCAACTTTACTAAAGCTCCTGGTGTTTTTGAGTATTTGCTGTGTTCTCTTAAAAAAGACTTAAAAATAAAAATCAGTGCTTCAACTAAACACCATGTTAACCAGAGAATGCAACACCAGATCTTTCAAGATCCACCCATTTGAATGCTTTCACAACTGCTTTTTGAAGTAACTACTTTTGTAGACAACTGTGTCAATTAAGTAATTTAAGGGTTTCACATTGACCTCTCTTCCTTTAAGTAAGCATTGTGAAGCAGAAAAGGATGGAAGAATTACTTGGTGTGTAACTGAAAAGCCAAAGCACTACTCCAAGAGCCAGATCTGACAATAGCTAATTTACAGCCCAGTGAAAAAACAGAAATGCAAACACAAAGATGTAGGAATCACACGAAGATTAATATTAAAATGGAACATGAGTCACATGTTAAGAGATTCCAGCAGGTGCCTGGGGCTAGGAAGGCATCAATGGATAGCATAGGAAGAGTTTTAAGGAATAGCTGGAGAAGAAACATATCAATAAATATGCTGTTCAACACACACATGCAGTGGGAAAAATAGCTTGAAACTTCTGAAAGAACAAAGTAATAAAACCTACAGACCACAGTAGTAGAAGAGATTAAATACTTATCAAAATTGAGTTTTTGTACACACATTAAAAATTTAATTCCTCAAAACCCATTAACTCTTTTGCTACATCTTTTTCTACTTCTTTTACTTCAGGACTGAAAACTCAAGTGATAAAATTGGTCCAAAATGAAATGGACCCATAAGCAGCAGGAGGCCAGACTAACACAGCCTAGCAAGGTTTGCACCTTATCCCCATATACTCCTTTTCCCTTTCATTAGTGTCCACACCATGGAGTGGAAGAGAAGCACAGCACTCTGGAGTACAGGACAGCTTTCTCTCCCAGCACCTGAGGCAGTGCAGAAGGCAGTGGCTGATGGAGGGCTCTGCTAACACACACAGCCACGGGACAGCTAAAATTCACTGTCATTTATCTATTTATTTATCTAAAATGAGTGGATGTGCATCTTGGAAAAACATTTTCCCAAGCTATCTGAAGCCTAAGAAGGCCTTGCTCCATCAGGTAGCATGTCAGACTAAAAGAAACTGTGCCTTAAAAAAAGCATATATTCCAAAGCACAGTGCTACAGGAATAGAGCTTCCCACAAAAAAAAAGTTAATCCATGCACACAAAATGTAGTGGATGCTCTAATTAAATATGCAGAATCAAGGAGTCTGAATTTTAAGCAGACAGGAAGACAAAAGGACTTGTGTCTTTCCACAGGCAACTCCCAAGAAAGTCACAAAATGTACCAGAAACGACAAAAGGTCAAGACCAAATTCCTTTCAGTTAAGGAAATGGGAAAAAATTCTGGCCCTATATTCATCCAGTATAGAACTGAATTAATTTACCTACTCAAGCCTGCCAATTTTATGTTTTGACTATATGAAGAATGATTTCAAGTCTATCAGCTAGCTGTTTAATTTTTAAAAAAATGCAGGAAACTGTACTGGCATTTATCATTTTGTGCAAAGCCAGAGCTTTAAGAATGAAGAACAGAAAGAGAACAATTGTAGAACAGGAGACAGTAACTGCCTGCTCAAAGGCTCCCACTAATCCTGACAGAAGCATAAGGACAACACAAGATGCTCGTATGGCAAGTCCTTCCTCCTATACTTCCACACCATTTGTTATCCAAATTGTGTTTAGTACCTCTCTAGAGACAGACATCTGCATACCAAAAACCCTTCTGAACAAGTAAAGCTATGAAATGAAAATTCTCAGTGAAATCTGGAGTCAAATCACAGAAGCCCCCAGAACTAGGATCAGATCTGAAAGCTGTTCTGGAGCCAGACAGGGAGAGAGCACTATCCAAGTACTGCTCACTTCCCCAGAGCCCAGCAGGAATGATCCTGGGGTCCTTTTAACTTAAGCTTTTCTGAAACACACATGCACACGTGGCCACACACTAATGACCTTTGCAATGTATTCAGCCAAAGCCTTCAGCCACTTTAACACTATAGCCATGTGCGGTTGCTAGGATTTTTTTAAAGCTAAAAAGTAAATGTTACTAGGAATAACAACTTACCAGTGCTTCAACCAAGAGCAGATATTTTGCTTACAGTGAGTAAATCAATTCCTCAACAATCTGTAGGGAAAATGGGATATTAAAACACTTGAATTAAAATAAATTAAAAAATAAAATATCTAGACCTCAAGGTCTACAAAACTAAGCATTAGCTTTTTTTACAAAAGCCCTCATACAAAAACAAAACAAAACACCAAACAAATCAAAAGAAAAACCCAAGTAGTCCCAGCTCACAGCATGTGCTACGCAAGTTATTTTTATTTAAAAAAATTAGAAGCATCACTAAAGAACTTATTATTAAAGAACCTGCAAACAACCCAAGAAATTCAGATCCAGTCCTCAAATTCACTGAGAAAAAACAAGAAAAAGAATATATTCTTTGAAGTTTTTTAAAGAGATCGATCAGGCATCAAGTAAAAGCCTGCTTAAGCAAACTGATTTGATGTTCACAATAGAAAACAAAATGCTCTTTTTATTGAGAGGAGGTATCATGTGGATGTAGGGCAATTATGTAACAAACTTATGTGGAACAAATTATTGACTTTATCTCAAAGTTGCTCATATATGGGCCAGGTAACTCGTGTGGGAAATATGACTTTGACAATGCCCACTGGCAATCTGTATTTAAAGTCTTAATCACAGTTACCTTAAGCAAAGGTAGCAAGATTAAAGACCTAAAACTCTAAAACAACTCATGAACCCCCTTTTCACTGTAAAGTTCAACTACATTAAATAAGACATTCAAGTTTATCCTCCTGACACATACAAATAAACCACATGTCTTGTAAAATCTCTCAGAATCTACTTATATTGAACTATAGCCTCAAATACAAAAAAATTAATGAACCTATCCAGTGACAGTATACTGTGCTCTTCCATTTGACAGCTACTCAGATGTGTAGAAAAATGGGATGAACAGGATTGTAATTTCATTTTTGATGTAATTTACTTTGAACTCTTATTATGGAAAAAGCCTTTAAAAAGGGAAATTACAAAAAAAATACAGCAGTAGACTGGCTGAAGCATGTAGAATATCCTAATGCATGTGATATTTAGAGATTTAAAAACATATTAATGCTATTTTAAAATGCATTTGAATGTGCACAAGCAGCTGCTATTAAATGGAAGCACAGTCCTTTTGTGAAGTGCCTATCCACCATTTTAGAAGAAACACAACATGGCTGCTGGACTCTGATCAGCCAGGAGGCATCCACCAGTCATCCAAGGCAGGAAAAATGAACCAGGGAAACAGTTACTTAGGCCCTTTGGATCATTTCACTCAAAAAAGGCCACTTAGAAACTACAATCTAATATATGAAGACAGGTGAAGTTAATGACTGGAAGACTCTCAGTTTACAGCTCTCAGCCATTTTTAATAATTCACGGCACAGCTACATATCCATCATGGCCTTCAAGTTAGTTCTTGTTTTCTTTGGTTCTAGAGCAAACACACAGCTAGGGTAGTTTGACAGAAACTTCAGCGAGGGTATTTAATATGGCTGTCACCACAAAGCACCTTCCTCTAATGAGTGCTATTAAGACTCCACTGGAGATTTGTTCTTCTGACCTCAGCACACTTGTGCAAAAGGAACCTTTTGTTTGTCAGAGTGGTATCACGTAGAAGTAGTTGTGACGTTTCTCTTCTTAGAAGTGAGTAGATGAACCAAACAATGAGTTTTGTAAAAACAGTATGAGGATGTTGATAATATATTACATTTCATTCACGAGTTATTTTTTCACTATTACACAATATACCCCTGTGTTTTGAGTTTTTAATTTTAACATCCAAAACACTTTCACTCAAACTAGAGAATAGACGACCAAAGGTACAGGCTTATGGCACGAGCCAGAAACCAGAGCGTGGAAATACAAGTCTTGGCTGAAAAAAATTAACCTTTCATGTTAACAGCTGTATTTCCTGTACCTAATGTAAAAATCTTTTAGTCAGACTATTTGCTGTAATTGCTGTAGCCTGGGTGATTAAAAAAATACATCCCATATTTAAAAATAAACATGAATTTACTTTTTCTACGTAATCTAATAGCTGTGGCTTATTTTTGTTTTAAAATTACAGACACTTGAAGTACAGTACAGCCTACACCACACAAAACATGCCCAGCCTCTTAAGTCCATGGCTCCTTCCCCCAAAGATTGGCACTAACCATCACACAGTGCATCTCCTTTTACAGCAAAAGGTGAAGTCAGACACCCAAAAGCTATCACCTGGTATCAAATTTATCTTGTATTTATTATTTAATTAATAAAGTATTTTGGCAAAGCCGATGTGTATCACCACACCAATGTTTTCCCATGTACGTTGTCAATGCTACCAAAATATTTTCTATTAGAATACTTAATACAGGCTTGTATCCCCGCAGAGGAACAGCTTCCTCTACTGAAAAGGTCTGGATTCAACATGATTCTGATGCCCCTTGATTCCCACGAGCATCCTGTAACGTAGCCATGAACCTGGAACTTCCCTCAAGTCCCAGTAGTGTACATCTAACCCACGAAGGTCTACTTAACCTAGAGGTGATGCCACTGTTACATGAAAACAAGTTGTTCTTGCATGAAAAGGCAGCTCCGAAGAGCTCACAAAAGGGACAGTTAAAGCTGCTTTTATTGTAATGTCCATTCAGCAGAGTCAGGACAATACTGAAAAGATTCAAGACAAGTAAGATCAACGTGCTCAATTGCATAGTTATAATAAAATGATCAAGTCAGCCAAGATCCGCTCTTGAGCACTGTATTTCTTTGTTTTTACTTTTCTAGGTTTTTTTTTAAGAGCAGGTCAGATAGAAATTGCAGACTGACATTTCAGAATTTAATATCAGGATTATAAATTGAGTCTGACAGGTTCAATCTCATCACTATTAACCAGACTTTTGTGGGACCCAGGCTGGTCTTGCCTTTATTGTAACAGACTGTGCAGTATCTGTGGGTTTTGACCCTCTGAACTGAAAATTTATGTGGGATTTTAGATAAATACTGTCGTTCTTAAGGTATGAGACATTTCTAACACAAAGTTCTAGGTCTCACACTTCCCATCAGACAGTCACAAGATGAAGTTGCAGAAACATACTGACATATCACCTTGCTCGTTAGCTGTGTTTGCTGCAGGACATCCATGATGGTGGCACATGTCCAATACCTATAAATAATCTGAACTCCACCTTGCCCATGAGCAGTGACTCACTGCAGATAAAGGTTTATTACAACCTGAAGAGACATTATTGTAAAACTTATGGAAAATTGCATACAATCTCTTTTCTATGAAGACTGAAGGCTTCATCCAAGCAAAAAAAAAACCCAGCTGCACTCAGGTGGGTGTTCACAATTGTATTCTTTGATTATCAAGATGAATTATGTAACTTTAAAAGCAAACGATAAAAAGTATTTTTGGGAATACTGATACATGTGTCCTCATGAAAACGCCTTACACTTTGAGGTCCTGAGTATGCACTGAAGTACACGAGCATCGGAAGCTGTGAAAAGGAACCAGTTAAGGCAGGCAAACAGGATCCCCCACTTGTAATTACAGAGTGGTGAAAGCCTGACTGAAAGGCTACACATTACTCTGATCCTAAATGCAGAATTTGAAGTGTAAAATCAAAAAATAAACATTAGAAGCTGCTTTGTTTACACTGCGAGGAGGAGAGCAAGATACCTCATAACAACTGGGTACCACTTTAGATTTTTAGAATAAAATTTACACCAAAACCAGAATTTTCAAGTTTATTGTATAAACAATTTCTTGAAAAGGAAAACTTTGTGATTGTCCCTTGCTAATGAACCAATACCTTGAACTAAGGAATAGCATTCCTGAAGTTCGATTAGACAATATCCTTAGGAGATGACAATCCTTTGGCTTCACCACATGTCAACATGGTCATTGCAGATTGTTAAAAACTTATACTTGTGAGTGACCATAGAAGTTTTCAAAGATGCAGGAGACATTAACAGTGCTGTAGTACCCACATACTAACAATTTCCAAATGCACTAAGCTTGTAAGAAAATAAATTCAACAAGGTAAAACACTGAAAGTTAAATGTTTAATGTTTATTTTGAAAAAAAAAAAATTGTTTCCAGGATAATTAAAGAACAAAAAGCACAAAACAAACCCCCACAACACAGTGTAACATACCTGGCACACACAGTACAGAATTTTGCTCAAGGTCTTTTGTCCAACCAGTCATCTGAATCTTTGGAAGAACAATATCCAGTAACAGCCTTTAAAGGAAAAGAACAACAAAACCAGTTTTTTCTAAAAACAAGGTATAGACAAGCTCTTTAAGTCCTAACATTCTTGACTGACAAACTTTCTGAAAACATGTACAGGAAATGTCTTTGAATGAACGAAAGTTTTTCCTACAGTACAAAACCAATACTCTATCATCACTAAGCGTTAGCCTCCAGGTCCCCAAAAACAGGAGACAGGCCCCAAAAATCTCCTTCTCTATGAATCCCCAAAGCCTTGTGTTACTACTTTGATATACAAATTCTACAATTTCCCCAAACGTTAATGTTACAAATTCATTAAGTAAAAACCTAATTCAAAGTTTAATGCAAGTTTTCACTGCTGAAACGGGACATACAGAACTTCTATATGCAAATACTGTCCTTTTCCACCAAATGCAATGCATTTGTATATATGTATCACATATTATAAAAATAAACAATCCACTTAAACAGCTTTAGTAAACTGAAATTTATACTCAAGCAGTACATAAATATGACATTATATGAAGACAGTCTACCTGTAAACTGCAAAGAAAAGCTTTTCAGAACTCCAATTTATCAAATGTGTCCCCTCCATATAAAAATGAGATTTTTTTTCTTTTCTTCCCATCTGCACAGTAGCAAAAAGGCAAATTCCAGTTTCAAAAAGTAACAAGGAAATGAACATACTAACATAAGGTATAACCATTCTTACCTAAGAAAAATAAGGCATGAACGAATCCTCTGGAAGCCAGTCAGGAAATAAGATTCTGTTCACAAAATTCTACCTGAAAAAACAAAGTATGGAAATTTTCAGTATTTTGCTTTAGAAAAGCAGCATATGCCTGAAATCTATCCATCTTTAGATAATTATTAAATCAGGAAGAACTCATGATCACAACTATCTTTCAAATTGAACTCTAAAAATAAAAGTATGAGTGGCTGTACATTCCTGTCTGAAGAAAAACCCACTGGATATGAGTGACTGACACACAACATACATGATCTGTGCTTTTCATGAATAACTGCAGTCTGCTCTACTGTCTCCATTACTTTAATTTTGAAAGAACTAAAGCTAAAATGCCAATTTAAGACTTCTTCTACTGAGTAATTTATCACACAATATCCCTCAGCCCTTTTACTTTTTCTTCCACATTAAAGTCTTTCAAAGTAGGCTATGCAAAATTAAATAAAACCACTACTGATAGCAAGGTTACTTTAAAATGGCTTCTGTCATCAGCTTCTCTGAATTTTAAGTCCTAAGTTACTTCATCTCCCAAAAAAACATCTTTTTTGCCCTTCAGAATACAATTTTAAAGCCTTCAGCTTCTTTAACCTTTAATCAGATCTCAAAGTATGCTCCTTTAACACAAGGAACACCATATTTGCCCTACCTCTAGCCAACTTTTCTTGCCTTTTGAGAAAAGCCGTAACATTTTATTTTACAGCAATTATATTTATCACCAGCACTACTTCATACTTTAGAAGTGTAGAATCATTCTGCAAATATACTATTTTAAAAAACATTTTAATGCTGGATTAAAAGATGTCTAAATTCAAACCCCTACACCTTAAATAAAAAAAAAGCACCTCAGAAATACTAAATAGAACACATTATTAATTACAAGTAATTTATTTTCTGGACAATTACCTGCTATTTTATTTTCCACTGTTGAAAGAAACCAGTCAAAACTATTTAAAAATTATCCTCTAATGTACTTAAGACAAATCCAGCAGACACCCACCTAAAGCTAGAACTTTCTTTAGGGCAAAGTGTGTATGCCATAACCTGTTCTACACTGCAGAACTGTTGCTGGGGTTATAAAACCACCATAATCCAAGTCTAAAATAAAGACACTAAACACTTTGCATAAAGGTGACGGAAGTCCAATGGTTGCTGAAACTTGTATTTCTATTTCCAAAAAAAGGGCTAACTTCAATCGTTGAAATGACAGATTCTTATTTGCAGAGGAAGTACCGAAAAATGTAGATTTACCTCCAACTGCAGTATTTAAAATCTGCACAGAGTTTTAGAACCTTGCACAAGCATACAACATTAAAATCTAACAAATATGGCTATACACAATCTCCAATTAAAACTAAAGTTTTTAGTATTTACCTCCTGTTCTGCTGCAAAGACTTTTTATACATTTAGAATTACGATTTTACTCTTAAATTGGTAATTGCTGAACGCGAGCCAACCCAAAACAAACGTCAGCCATTGCATTTAAACTTGCATTTTTTAAAAGTCTTGCAATAGTGTTGTACAACTTCTAAATTATCAGAACACCGAAACAACGATTAAAATGTTTCGTAAAGAGAAGTAACTGCGAGGTCTCTGAAAAACCTATTAACTGAACTATAAAAACAAACCTGAAACCCGTTAAATGTTTTTTTTAAAGCTTTACATGTCAGACACAAAGTTATCCGTTTCCTTATCGTGCAATTCGAATTTAAGTAACTCTCTTTTCTTTCTGTAGTGTCGCCTAAATCACAACTGTAGTATTTCGCCAACTTTAAACTGTAGACTTGGCATGACCGAGCTTTGTTTTTCTCAAGCTTTTAAGTTCGTACGTTGCCGTTTTAATTGCAAAATCAAATTTGCACGTAATTCCTAAGAGGTTTTTTTAAAACTTCTACACCTGAATTGCTGTTTCTCCAGTGAAGTTAATTTCTCTCTATTGTTCCATAAAGTACCAATCTGTCTCATCCGCAGCCTGTTTCTGCCTTACTGGTTTACAAAGAGTTAAAAGCCAACACCCCACCAAAAAAACACTCCAAGTTTTATTTTTAAGAGAAAAGGACATGGCGTCTTTGTTCTTAGAAACTACGAAAACACATCCCCATCCGACCAGCGACGGGCAAGAAACGCTCTTTACACAGACACGGGGCTAAACATTTCAGCGATGCTGTCGTACAGCCTTCACCTCTCCCCCCTCCCTCCAGTGCTGCATTGGAGTTCCAGGCTGATTTGCAGATACCCCCCTTGTACGCTGCGCTGGGGGGAATCGGTCTGCAGCCCCCCCTATGCTCGGTGCTGCACAGGGGAGCCAAAACCCGCCGCTGCTCCCCCCGGGGCTGCACCGGGGACGGGGCGTGCGGAGCCTCCCGGGTGCTGCAGGAGAGGGAAGGGAGCGCCCGCAGCCGCCGAGGGTCACTGGGGCGCCCCTTGTCCCGCCGCTCCCCTCCAACCCAGCCCGGTGTCGGGCACGGGCGGGGGTCCCCGAGGGTACCCGCAGGTCCCCTCAGCGACCGGCGGGGGGGGAAAGGGGGGGCAGAGGGAGCCAGCGCCCCCTCCCCCTCCCGGCTCCAAGGACATTTTGTTTTTCCTCCCAAGGACAAAGGACAATGAAGAGCCCGGAGACTCCGGCACTTACCCGGCGAAGAGCAGCCCGCTGGCAGGCACGCGGGGCCCCGAGAACGGGGCACTGCTCCCGGCTCTCCCTGCCCGCGGTCAAGGGCGGCCCCGCGCCCGCCTGGCGAGGGAGCGGCGCGGGCAGCGCTCCGCAGCCCGGCGCCATTGCTGCCCGACCGTCGGCAGCCCCGTTCGGCAGCCCAGCTCGCCGCCCTCCAAAGCCCCGCAGCCCACAGAGCGCCGGGCCCGATTTGGCGCCCGGGAGCGGCACCGAGGGCGCTCGCCGGGCGTCCCCGGTGCGAGCGGCGGGGAGAGCGCCGGGAGACGGGCGGGAGCTGCAGCTGCTCCCCGGCCATCTTGTGCCGTGTGTGTGAGGGAGCCTCCGCCGTCTCCTCTCAACTCCTTGCTCCCCTCCCCCCGCACAACATGGCCGCCCGGTCGCTCCTCACTGCGGCGGGGAAGGGGCGGCACCGCGCGCGCGCCCCGCCCCTCC